TCCCTAGACTCCTTCAATCTACCTGTGCAACATACCAACAGATGACCTGAATAAAGCATTTGCTGTATATCAGGCACTTTTTGGAATATTTCCTTACCCATTTTAATCCTTACATCTCCATGAAGCCATATTATGATGCTTACATTCAAAGTGAGGAAGCTGAGGCACAAAAGTAACCAGAGAGACCAAGAAAGAGAGAGAACACAAAAGCACCATGGACAACCTTGAACCCAGGCAACGTGGCTTTGAATCACTACAAGCACGTGTCATTGACCTGGAGGAGATAACCTGGCACACCAGGGAATTTCCTCCATCACAACTGGCCTGTGAGCATGTCTGTAGAGCATATTCTTGATTGCTAGTTAATGCAGGTGAGACCATCCCACTGTGAACAGTGCCATCCCTAAGGCAGGTGGGTCTAGGTTATATAAGAAAGCTGGTTCCTGCCCTGCATTCCCTTCACGATGGACTAAAAGGAAATAAACCCCATCTTCCCCAAGTTGCTATAACAAACTATGTCAACTTCTAATCTTCTGACAGATCATCTAAAATAACAGTTACACTCGACTCTTCTACCACCTAAGTACAAAGACATCTATGTCCACAGCCACTACACCATAACCACAGGCCTCTGAGCTATTGACCTCCAGCCTGGGCTTGTTCTACCAAGGCCTGCCATGGCAAAATACGACTAGCTTCCACTAAACTTTCCAAGACAGCTGGTAACTCAAGCCAGAAACAAAACCACAGCTGCCATAGAATAACCACACTTTAAATCACAGCATCATGCTGCTCAGTTGTCTGGGACCCCAAACTGGGCTTTGCAGGCTGGGAGGGGAAGCAAAGGTCATGAAGTCCTCAGTACCCACAAGCACAGGTGATGAACAAGAAAACGTAGTATGCTTGGTCACTGGCTCTTTACTGGCTCCTGAATATTGACATTGACATTTCAGAATCAAAAACCTACCAAAGGACCAGAGGAGGCAAAAGAACTCTCCAAGAGTCAAAGGCTCATCCCACCAGTGGAAAAATCAACTACTGGATCACTATCATCCCTAGGAGGACCTGCTATCACTGGCTCACTTGCTATGGCTAAGAGAACCATCTGCAGACAGAGGATCCGCCATTGCTGCTAGGACACTACCTGGTATCCAGACACCTCTCACCACTGCTAGGAGGAAAGGATCCATGAGCCAGGCCAGGGAAGGCAACAGAAAAGGCAAAGCCTATCTTTAGCACATCTTCCAGAAGCATTAGGTTGGATAACAGAGCATGCACTCACACATGCTAATGCCTACTTGCCTCCACCACAGCTAAGCTTTAGCCACAGGCTTCCTGTAACCTATCTCCTTGACATGGCACAAAGCAGGTACTAGTGAGCAAAGCAGGGTAGAGCTAAACAGAAGCCACCTCCAGTTCCAGTAAAAGGCCATGACATATGGATGCAACTGATTCTGAAATGGTTCAGCAGGGAGGTGGGGCACTTAGGCACTTTAGTACACGGTTATGACATTTATGACATAAGGATATGCAGGGTGCTTGCTTTTTTCATACCTTTTTCATGATTTTTAAATTATTTTCTCTTTCATTCTTTTTTTGGGGGTCTCATGTACCCCAGCTCTAAAAGATTTCTTCTTCAAATAGAGGACAGCCCTTGTGCTACTCCACCTGATATTCTGGACCCCAGAAGTGAAAGAACCCTGATCTAGGAGCCAGCTCACTCAAGTTTCTATTCTAGCTGCAAAGCTAGTAGGGAGAGTCAGTGACTTAAGGTCACTCCCAGCTGGGAGCAGCACAGCTGGAATACAGACAGCTGCCAATTCTACCTCCCTACAGGGACCTGTAATAGGCAAGGGACTAGGATTCTTAAACTGTAGTCCTGCTGAGAAAGCAGGTTTTCTTAACTACCAATGCTGGAATCACCCTGGAGAAAGATATGGCCGCCGAAATTATGGTATGATTTTGCTTCCAAATGAGACCTTCAACAGTGTTAGGGTGAGCAATTAATGCTGCACTCCCTACAGGTGGGGAAAAAAGCCAGTAGTGGCTCTCATAGCCCTCCTGCCCCCTATACCATGCCAGCTTCTTGTCATAACTACTTAAAAGGTCCAAACCCTCCTTTCCCCAAATTGAGAGGCCTTAATGCATTGGTCAACCACAAAAGGGGGGGGGGGTAATCAGAGCAAAGTACTAAGATGGCAGAAGTTTGGTACCATCATCTAAAGAACCTAAAGGACCTCTGGGACCCATGAGAAGACAAAGGCGGTAAGAGATTCCACATCTAGAGTTAAAAAACAATTTATAAGCCAAGTGTGGTAGCATGTGCTTTAATCTGTGCTCAGAAGGCAGAGGCAGACAGATCTCAGAGTTTGAGACCAGTCTGGTCTACAGAGGGCATTCTAGGACAGCCAGGACTACACAGAGAAACCCTATCTAAAAAAACCAACAAACCAACCAACCAATAGAGTAACATGAGGTTCTTCTGAGGCCCAAACTAGACATAAACAGCCAGATGGACAAGGATCCAAACAAAGGTGTATAGTGACCAAATCAGTCAGGCCCATAAGACTGAAATTTCACCTGGTCACTTAGCCTTTACGAGAGCATTCTCTACTTTAATTTCTCTGTCTATAAAATTGGGCTAGTAAGAGTTCCAGCGAATACCGAAAGTTAACACAAACATTAATGCTTAGAACAGTGCCTGACATGTAACATCTTCAAACAACCAAGATCATTTTAAAGAATATGGAGGTTAGAGGTATAGCTCAGTGGCAGAGTGTTTGCCTAGCATGCACAAGGTCCTGGATTTCATTACCCATCACTATAAAAACAAAATAGAAAAAGAAGCTTGGACAAGTCAAGCCCCGCTCCACACACTGCCTCCTCCCCATCTATCTCTGAAAGGCCTAGCCTGCACCAAAAGAAACCCACAATGTCCTGGCTCTTTCTCACAAGTAACACTGGGCAGAAGCAAGAGGACAACCCTCTGCCTCCTTCCTGAGAGACCTAACTTGTATTCTCCTCACACCCATGTATGGATCAGACCTAGGACCTTGACAGGAAGCAAGCAAATCTAAACCAGAGAAGGACCTTTCTCTCGAAAACCCAACAAAAAGACTGCCCAGCACTCCCAGGACAGACAGGAGAAACATGCACACAGACACAACAGCACACAAGAAAAAAAAAAACTGGCCCAGCAACCCCTGTCTTTGCTGACCATGTCAGGGGGTACATTAGAGTGCTTACGTACTGGACAACTTAAGACAGCTCTGGGGTCTACTGCCAAGTTCCAGCCTAGAAAGCCACAGATTCGAGAGCACATTACTCCCTCTATTGGAGCCTCTTGCACTACATGGCCCATTCAGACTGTAGGAGGGTTTTGGGGAGACCCTCCCTTGCTGCACATGTACAAACGGATGGATGGCCTCTGTCATCAGTCTCCAGGCTCCATGCTCAGGGATACTCGACACACAGGACTATACTGAAGAACTCCTATTTGCTCTCTTCTCCAACACTTCTAAGGAGAGGGCTGTTCTCTGCGCTTGATTATCTTCAGTGATGGCAGGCAGCACGAACTCACGTATCCTTTCCCAATTGCTCTCAGCCAGCTGGCAGGATATGTGTACAAACTGGCCGGGGAAAAATGGTTAGGGACATTGGTAGCCTCTGTAACTAGACAGAAGTTGGTTCTGGAACAAGAGGCATCAGGCAGGCAGGCAGGCAGGCAGACATGGCTCTATTTCAAGGCCTAGAAACCTCCGCTGCAAAACTGGGACCCAGAAAACAGAAAGGGATGGCAATCCACTCTATACAGGCATACATGTTTACCAAGACTTCAATCACAAGAACCACAAACCCAACAGCCCGACAAAAGAACCATACCCAGCAGGCTGCTTTACAGTCAGTTCACTATGTAGAGCGGCCGGTTGCACTGAGTTCCTCTCGGGAGCCCAGGGAGGCACTCCTCAGTTCAGCGTCGGCCTGGGGTCTTGGTCATTGGGGCTTAGGCAGACATTTCCACGTGTGACAAAGGTACAAAGCCCACCACTGCAATATGTTACAAGACGGGAGCTGGGCTGGGACACTGCTGTGGGTGCACCCATCTGCTGACACCCAGTCATGATGTCACCCACAGAAGACTTGCCTTGGGCATTCCTTCATGGGAACCATTCCCCACTAAAAACACGAAGCACGATACTTGCCACTGCACTGGCACAGAGGTAAGTCTGCCGACACAGGACACACACACACATATTAAAGCATCCCTTTCACCGAAAGTTCAGACACCCCTGCTAGTTCTAAAACTTTTTGGCAGATTACTAAAGGGACAGTGAGGCTGTAATGGGAACTCTTGAACCTGATGGCTAAATCAACCCTGTTTTGGAGAGTGGGAGAGCAGTGAGGTTTTCTTGGTGCAGTTTAGGAGTGTTTGAAATAGGTAAAAAAGGGGATCTGAGGTTCCCCACCACACACAAAACTCCAAGGGAGTACCGGAAGTATTTAATCACATCACACACAACTAAGTGCCGGGCACCGCTGAGAGGACTCTGTCCCCTGCACTCGGGGTTTGGTTTACTCCCAGTACCTCCTTTGGGCCGGGCTAGACTTCCGTGATGCAGCGTTTCATTAAGAGGCAATAAGCCACCAGGCATCGCTGTCCAGAGCTGAAACACTGGCACAAAGCCACAGTTGGGCGGACAGTTGGGACACCAGGTGCCTCCACAAGCTGCTCTCTGCCCCTTGACTTCCACTCAGCCCGGCAGAAGCACCTGGCCAGTGGCTCCCAGAGCACGGCACACTCTACAGACGTGGGTTCAAAGGCGACTCCTCGAGGCTCCGAACCCAGGTACAATCCAACTTGTGCCCGGGCAGGGGACAAGAGGCCCACAGCCAGGCCTCGCCTGTGCCTTGCCGAGGCGCAGTGGACGCCCAGCTGCTGCGGGTGAAAGGACGTCCCAGGCCCCACCCCCGACCGCGCCCCCACCCCCAGCGCCGCGCACCTGGCCGCAGCGGCTCGGTGACAGTGAGAACCAGCAGGAAGAGCAGCAGAAAGGCACCACTGTCTGCCTTGGGCACCATTTATCCTCCGTTCATCGTCCCCGGGGCAGCCGCGAGACCCCGCGGGCAGGCCGGACCTGGCCCAGATGAGGGAGTGAGGGCCGGACTCCGGCCGGGGGCAGAGAGGTGGCGGGCGAGGGATCCAGCTGGGCCGCGGCGACGCTGGGCGGCTGCAAGGGAATGCCGCCGACCCGTGCGCACTCTAGGCCGCAAAAGCGGGACGGGATTCCGGCTCGCGCAAGATGGCGGCTGTCCTGCTCGGGCCCGCGCGACCCCGCCTCCAGCCCACACTAACCAATGAAAGCCGAGCCGGGCGCGGGGAGGCGGAGGGAGGGCAAGACGGGCGCGCTCCAGACGAGGGCGGGGCGTGAGCAGGAGGGCCGAAAAGAGGCCAGGCCTAGGGCCTGGGCGGTAGTGGGCGGGGTCTGGGGCGGGCTTATAGGAAATGAGGCGTGCCATTGGCTGAGTCAAGAAGCGGGGCTCGGGACTGAATCTAGGCGGCCAGGTGACCAAAGGGGTCCCTGGTACTTTGTGGGGATCACAAGGATCAACAGTGTAGGCCCCTGGTCTGGAGGAGGTAGGAGTGGGGACCTGCGATTAGAGAATTGAGGAGGCAGCACAGGGCATTAATGATCTTTACTCCTGGAGGCCCAGGTCTGCCCCAGTGCCCAACATACACCCTAAAGCGGTCTTCTAAAGGCCCAACCTCCATGAAGAAAGTGAAGAAATCCAGAGAGCTGGCCGACTCTGAGATTGGGAAAGGAACACAAAACAATTTCAACAGAGGAGGAAATGGCGTAAGGGATGTCAGAGAGAATAACAGAGAAGCCCAGATCCTCCGGATCAAATCTTGGAAAGGTCCTGCCTATACAAAGAAGGAGAAAAGTTCAGGCAGAGATGAGGCTAAAGTCTGGAAACAAGGTTCCAAGTGCTGACCTCATGAACAGCATGAACGTGGAAGGAGAGACAGCAGATGGAGCAGCGACCTGTTCTGGGGAAGGACCACCACCTTTGTACAGCCCCTGCAGTGGATGAACAGCTCTGGGGAAGGAAGTGAAAAGGGGGAAAGCCAGCCACCTTCAGCATACCTAACTCACTTCAGTGCCTCCACCAAGTCCTGGGATTCCAATCTGTGGTAACTGGAGCCATGTGAGTGAGGGATGCTAACTCCTAACAAGTAGATAAAGCCAAATTCAAACCCAAGATTAGGTCAGACCATCAGATATTCCAACTTCCATAGGTCTTCCCCAAGGCAGATTTTGGACTCAAATCTTGTCACAACGGAGGGAGAGCCCCTTGCTGGCAGAAGCAAAGATACCTATCCAGCACTGCCCTTGGCACTTGGACGGTCTCGGTGGCACATTCCCAGCACTCAGTACAATATCCAGGCCCAGCCTTCTGCCCCAATACCAAGCCCACTCCAAATCTGCCCCTGGAGGCCAGCCAGAGCCATGGGTTGGGCAGGCCCTTGGGAGGGAACTCACAGCCAATTCCTGCAGCTGTCTACCTGTGGTGCCTCTGTGAGAACCAGGAAAGGTCTGGGTGAGAAGAGCAGTACAGCATAAAGTCCTACTGAGCCCACAGTGAAAACACTGTGTTACCCCCAAATAAACACTGGGCCAGAGGAGATCAAGGATCTGAAGAAAGGTGTTTTAGAAGAACCCTCACCCTTCTCGGCCCTGCTATGTGCCTTTGAGGGTTGCCTATGCAGACAGCATCAAGAGCGGAAAGGGTGCAGGTCACAAATGGTTTTCTTATCACTGGCCTGCGAAGAGTGGCGCTCTCCATTTCCTTCCCCGACCCTAGGGAACAGGGTTCCCTACATTTTGCTCCCACCTTTGTGAAGCACCCCCTTACCCAGACTTCTTCTGATTATCCTTAATTGAGACTATCTTCTGTTTCCTGTTGGGGTCCTTGACAGACAGGACCACCCACCCTAGATCCCCTGGATTGACCTGGCTTGCAATAATGAGTCATGCCTCTACATAGTTCAGTCTTTAGGTTTAGAAACATGGGCAGAACTTTGTGTCCCATAACCCCCTCTTACCTTCGGCCGGAGCCAAGCATGGAGCCATTTTGTTCACTTTTAGTCTGTTCCCGTACACTGGCAGACCTTTCTCAGGTTCCACGTTCAAGTGGCTCAGGTAATAGCCTCATTTCCCCCAGGGCAGTACTCCTTTGTGACTTCACCCACTGAAGTCACCCCGGAGACAGTGCTGAATGTTCCATGCTAGAGTCTTGGCCTCTTAGGAGGCAGGGACAGCAGGCCTGGACAGCTCAGAGGACTCTCTGTCCACAGTGTAAATGAGGACGCTGCTGGCCCATGTCTGGCAGGGATGTAGAGGGCAGCCTCAGAGGCACTGGGCACTCCCGGAACCATGGATGACGCTGCCGTCCTCAAGCGACGAGGCTACATCATGGGGATAAATTTGGGAGAGGGCTCATATGCCAAAGTCAAATCCGCTTACTCTGAGCGCCTAAAGTTCAACGTGGCGGTCAAGATCATCGATCGCAAGAAAGCCCCCACGGACTTCCTGGAGAAATTCCTTCCCCGGGAGATTGAGATTCTGGCCATGCTAAACCACCGCTCTATTGTCAAGACCTATGAGATCTTTGAGACATCAGACGGCAAGGTCTACATTGTCATGGAGCTTGGAGTCCAGGGTGACCTCCTTGAATTCATCAAAACCAGGGGAGCCCTGCAAGAGGATGATGCTAGAAAGAAGTTCCATCAGCTCTCCTCGGCCATCAAGTATTGCCACGATCTGGATGTTGTTCACCGAGACCTCAAGTGTGAGAACCTTCTGCTTGACAAGGACTTCAACATCAAGCTGTCTGACTTCGGCTTCTCCAAGCGCTGCCTGCGGGATGATAGTGGCCGACTGACATTAAGCAAGACCTTCTGTGGGTCAGCAGCTTATGCGGCCCCTGAGGTGCTGCAGGGCATCCCCTACCAGCCCAAGGTATATGACATCTGGAGCCTAGGTGTGATCCTCTACATCATGGTCTGTGGCTCCATGCCCTATGACGACTCCAACATCAAAAAGATGCTGCGCATCCAGAAGGAGCACCGAGTCAACTTTCCACGCTCTAAACACCTGACTGGTGAGTGCAAGGACCTCATCTACCGAATGTTACAGCCAGATGTCAACCGGCGGCTGCACATTGATGAGATCCTCAGCCACTGCTGGGTGCAGCCTAAGGCACGAGGTCTGTCCTCTGGAGCCGTCAACAAAGAGGGGGAAAGCTCCCGGGCAACTGAGCCCGTATGGACCCCTGAACCCACTGGTGCTGATAAGAAGTCTGCCACCAAGGTGGAGCCTAGGGAAGAGGCACGATCCGAGACCCAACCTGAGACAAAACCCCAGGAAGACACTGTGCAAGTGGCCAGGCAGTCAGAGACTGTGGGCCTCAGCGGTGAATTGAACAGGGAGACAGAGGAAGGGCACCCCCAACAGTCTTCAGAGACACATACCTAGTGAGCCCCTTGCAAGCCCAGGGGGCCAGCAGGGAATGAGGCACAGCTCTGGCTTGAAGCCTGAGCCTAGAAGTCAAGGGATGAGAGAGAGAGAAGGAAGACAGTCCCGGAGGAGCTGCTATTTTCGTCACTTCTCCCCCCCCTTTGAACTTGGTAACTCACATGGCTAAAGAAGCAATAAATCACTATATTGGTGCAGACCCTAGTCCTGGGCTCCCCGTGGCTTCCTATCAGACTGCAAATCCTCATTCATAAGGGAATCCATTCCCCACCCACTAGCCTAAACTGTATCCTCAGGCTGGCTGGGGGGCATTTGGAGGGGCAGAAGCTAGGAATGATGGCTAACTGAGGAGGACACAACTTCTAGAGGGAAGCCAAGAAGTGCAGAGAAGGGTGGAGAAAAGGCACCTGCAGAGGAAGGGTAGGCAGCCAGAGCCCTCTCTTGCACTGGAGGGCTTGCACTGGCTGCATCAGGAGCTCAGGGGCCAGGCAGGTGTTTCATCACTACCCTGGGGCTCTCGGCTGCACACACCTGTGAGGGTCTGGGGAAAGACTACAGACAGTGGTGGACCCCCAAAGTACCTTGGTTGGTTCCCAACTTTTTTGGCAGCTGGTTTTCAGCTCTGCTCATCATGGGGCATGTTCCTCCTTGTCCAGCTGACAACCAGTTCTCAACAGTGCCTTTGGTTGCTCTACACCATCATTTTTCAGCCCAGAAGTAGGGGGCTTTGCTAGTTAACCCAATCATGTCCTACAGTCATGGGTAGCTTTGACTGCATCCTGGTCTCTTCCAATCTTAATCCGTTCCAGAGGAGATGCCCCCAGTCAGAGGTGGAAGCAAAATTGGCAGCATGTCTGAACCCTATGGGCAAGAAAGGTAGCTACTGGCATTCCACATGGCAGCTTCTGGTGTTCCACATGGGCGTGGCCTGCATCTGGCACCACGGGTTGCCATGTGCTGCCTGTCTTGCTTACACCATGTCCCAAGCAGTCCTCACCTTGCTGTCGTGGCCCCTTTTTCTTCAGCTCACTCTGGGCAACCTCATGGAGGTCTAAGGGTTTAATACACAAAAATAACATTTAGACTCATCTCAACCCTGCCCCCACTGATGTCTCTACCTTGAGAAGACACCCATGCCAATTTACTCTAGAGAAGTGGGATCCTGTGAGTTCCTGAATGTTCTTCCTACATCCACCCACCTCATCCAGCCCACCTTCACCCCACTGTCTGCTGTTCTACCTATAATCTCCCAGCGTTATAATCACCTAGGTTACATCCGACCACCCTCAGAAAGGATTTCAGTGCTGGCTTCTAATCTGCCCATCAACAGCCCCTTATCCCTGCACCCCAAAACATGTGCCATAAGCATACTTGCCAGTTCAGCTCTGAAGGCTGTGCTCATCTCCCCAGACTCACCTAAGGGACATTGTCCTCCTCAAAGCCTTCTAGGGCCAAGCGACACTCTTAGCCTGCTTCTGTGATTTTTGCCTGTGAGGACTAAGTATCCATGGTTGAGGCATGGTGCTGACCCTGAGTAACACTGGGGAGAGTGAGACTGGAGAAGCCCTATGAAGGAACTTGGATGGGGCAGAAGGCTCTAGGACATATGGGACTGGGTGGTGGTGGGGTGCCCCAAGAAGAATTTAGGCTTCTCCCCTCTCATCTCTTGTAGTCTTTCATGATTTGGGGGACAGAAGACACCAACAGGACCTGAGGCTGCTTGAAATTCAAGTAGGAGACAGTTGGGGTAGCAAGGAGATGCAAGAGCTCCTGCTATGTGCATTCCAGGTATAGAAATAGCTCAGAGAAGGTGGGTTCCTACCAGAAAGTACAGCACCCAGAGTATGATGCGCAAGTACTGAGCCTAGTCCTCTACAAGCAGCCTAATCATTCATGTGAGCTACTGAATCTGACTTAGCTATCTGGAGTGGTACTCGGGGGTTTTAGGACAAGGACAGGACTTCAGGGTGGCTTCTATGGTGCATTCTTGTTCCTCGTGTCATCTTTTCCCTCTTGACTACCTGGTAGCTCCTCTGTACCTGGGTTATGTCACTTCCTCTTTGAAGCCTTCTGGCCCGCCTCCCCCACTAGAAACAGGCCTTCTTGCTTTCCCTCTGAACACAGCATCCTTGGATCACGTCTTGGCAGCTCACTGTAAGTGTAAGACTCCTGTGAGATGTGAAAATGAACACAGGACTTCTAAAGTAGCCAAGATTATACAGGATGCCACTTTGCAAAACAAACATTCGTGCACAAAATACAAGACAGTCCAACACACAAATGGGGGGCCATGCCACAGCAGTTCATGTCACCCCTGCTCACTGCTCACAAAACCTCCACTCGGAAGCTTGCTCTTTATGGACAATGCTAAAGGCCATCAACTCCTGGGTCATCTAACACCAAGCCCAACACAGTCCCCTCCTTCTGGAAAAAGGCTCAGGCTGGCTATTCCCAACTCCCCCACCCTTCACCCTCAGAGGCCTGCTCTGGTCCACAGTCCTGGGCCTCTACATACATCCCAAAGCCAGCTGGATTTTCTAACAGCAACCATCTTAAAAGGGACTTGGGTTGTATAAGGCCTGCCCATCCTTTAGAGAAAAGCTCATGATATTCTCTTCTTTCCTGACTTATACCTTAGCCATTCTCAGCACTTGCTTGCTTGGATATCTTAGCAGCTTTTGTACCTAGCTGAAGCTCGCCCCATCCTCCACACCTGCCCTACCTCATTGAACATGCATCTGTCTATCCTGGCTGCTCAGAACAACCCTAGCACTACCTACCCTCCCACCCACCCACCCACTCCTGTTCACCAGGTCTGTGATTCATCTGCTCACTCTGCCAACTCCTGACCCCAAACATGGAACTGCTTTCATCCAGCAGACTGGACCACCACTGGACTGACTGAACCTGGGAAGCTTCCATAAGCTCACAGGAATGTTTCTTTCAACCCCACAGAAGCAGCAGGGGATTGGCTCCAGTGAAATGACAAACACAGGGCCACGCTTGGGGCTAGACCTGGATCACCTCCCTTAGGGCCTCACTGGTGACAAGAAAGCCACAGCAAGAAAGAGGGCCAGGGAGGGTTACCACAGGCCTGAATGCCAGCTTCATTCCAGTGGGTGGGGAGGGGGTGCTCCTTCTAGGCCTTCCTGCCTTCCAGGGGCCCCATTCCCCACAGCCTAGTCCCTACTCTTAGCAGCCTGGCTTTATGACTTCATTCACTGGTCACTTGGTGACAATGCTGAGCGTTCCACTCCTCCAAGTCCAAGCCCAGCCCAACCAGACACCTCCCCACAGTGGGAATGAGGACCATGCCTGCTGGCCCGTGTGGGGAGGGGATGTAGAGGGAGGCGGCATCGGCCGCTCCTGACACCATGGACGATGCCGCGGTCCTAAGGAAGAAGGGTTACATCGTGGGAATCAACCTGGGCAAGGGCTCCTATGCAAAAGTCAAATCTGCCTACTCTGAGCGCCTCAAGTTCAATGTGGCAGTCAAGATCATAGACCGCAAGAAAACACCCACGGACTTTGTGGAGAGATTCCTTCCTAGGGAGATGGACATCCTGGCAACCGTCAACCACCGTTCCATCATTAAGACCTATGAGATCTTTGAGACCTCTGATGGACGCATCTACATTGTCATGGAGCTGGGTGTCCAGGGTGACCTCCTTGAGTTCATCAAGTGCAGAGGAGCCCTGCATGAGGATGTAGCACGCAAGATGTTCCGCCAGCTCTCCTCAGCCGTCAAGTATTGCCACGATCTGGATGTTGTTCACCGAGACCTCAAGTGTGAGAACCTTCTGCTTGATAAGGACTTCAACATCAAGCTGTCTGACTTCGGCTTCTCCAAGCGCTGCCTGCGGGACGGGAGCGGGCGCATCGTCCTCAGCAAAACCTTCTGTGGGTCAGCAGCTTATGCGGCCCCTGAGGTGCTGCAGGGCATCCCCTACCAGCCCAAGGTATATGACATCTGGAGCCTAGGTGTGATCCTCTACATCATGGTCTGTGGCTCCATGCCCTACGATGATTCTGACATCAAAAAGATGCTGCGCATCCAGAAGGAGCACCGAGTGGACTTCCCACGCTCCAAGAACCTGACTGGTGAGTGCAAGGACCTCATCTACCGCATCCTGCAGCCAGATGTCAACCGGCGGCTGCACATTGATGAGATCCTCAGCCACTCATGGCTACAGCCTCCCAAGCCCAAAGCCATGTCTTCTGCTTCCCTCAAGAGGGAGGGGGAGGGCAAGTATCGAGCTGATTGCAAGTTGGATACTCGACCAGGTTCAAGACCCGAACACCGGCCTGACCACAAACTGGCAACCAAACCCCAGCACCGGATGCTGGTATCATCCGAGAATGAAGACAGGATGGAGGAGAGGCTGGCTGAGACTTCCAGAGCTAAAGACCATCACATCTCTGGAGCTGAGGTGGGGAAAGCAAGTACCTAGTGGTGGAGAGGGCGCTGGGGGATCATGGTGTGCAGTTTGCACTCACATAAGCTAAATAGGCAGGTAGGAGCTGAAGAAGGCACAGGCGCAAGGAACAAGTAAAATCCGTCAATTAAACCACTATTTTGATTACGTTCTATTAGCTTTTTTCCACTTAGTAGCAAAGACATTAATTACTGACCACCAAATAAATCACAAAGTGTATACAAGTATTCAGAGTGCCCAGTGAGGAGTCTTTTTCTCTAGGACTCATCCAGCGCGGGGATGTCCAGCATACTCAGGCCCAGGCAGACTCAATGAGGCCTGTGGCAGAGGGGACCTCTGCCATAGTCCTTTGCCAGGCTTACGCTTGTCAGCCTCTGGCCTTCTCCCACCCCCAAGGCTTCCAGGCCTGGACAGCTCCATGCTTCTTCCTTAACTAATGCAATATAAGCTACCCTGACCCTGTCTTATTCCTCCCCAGTGGTCAGTATCCATTAACTTCAGAGACAATCAAAACTGCTCAAGCCTCACCCTCCTATCCCCAGGAATGGGGTGGCCCAGCTGACAGCTTGTTGCTATCTTCCCCATCCTGTCGACCTGCATTCCTCAATCAAAGTGTCTAGATGCCATTCCTGGTTACATCCTTCCCTCACACTGGTCAAATGCTTGAAGGGGTCAGCACCTAGGCAGCATGCATGCTCCCATCTCCCGTCTCTGCTTCCCACTCACTCAGGGAACCCCTTGGATTAAAGCTCAACTTCCCTGAGAGACAAAAGTACAAACTCCCTAGCCTAGGATCCCAGTTCTAGTACTGAGGCTCCCAGGGCACAGGAACTCATGGGGGACATCTGGTTAGCAGAGGCCTGACCTAGTTTGTCTCTGATGCCATGATAAAAACTTTCACCAAAAATAACTTAGGGGAGGAACTGGTTTATTTCAGTGCACACTTTCAGGTCACGGTCCATCACTGAGGGAAGCCAGAGCAGGAGCCCAAGGAGGACCCAAAGCAGAGACCATGGAGGACCGCTGCTTCTTGGCTTCTCTCTAGCCTACTCCCAGGCTCTTACTCCCCAGGGCCACCACCCAGGTATGCCGCTGCAGGGCCCGGCCCTTCTACATTAGTTAGCAATCAAGAAAATGCCCCCCCCCCAGACATGCCCTCAGGACAGTCTGATGAGAAGTAATTCTTCAGTTGAGGTTCCTTCCTCTTAGGGTAACTCCAGCTGTGTCAAACAGACAAACACCAGGCAGAACAAGAGCCAAGGCAGGGAGTACCCAACCCAGGTGGTTTCCAGAGAACACCAGTGCAGAGGCCTGAGTGGACCAACGCCAGCAGACTCGAAAGGTGGCTCTCATGGAATCAAAGCAGGGTCTGGGGCTAAGAAGAGTCAGGTGTGCTTTAGGCTACCTGAATAGCTCAAGCCCTGTGACACCACCAGCAGCTTCAAGACCATTGGATGGGGAATTAGATCATAGTTTCAGACTCTGATAGGCCTAGACAGTAGGGACTCTTCACCTTTGTAAGGCATAGGCTCATGGGCCCAGTAGGCCACTAGTCACCTGAGGGCTAGTTACCCTTAATCCACAGGCAAAGAGCAGGCTGCTGGTGCACATGGCACTCACAGGTTTACAGCAAACCCAAATTCATCTTTTCATATCACAGCCCAGACTGAGGTAAGGCTGGTGTCTTGGCAGAGCCCAGGAGGAAGTGTCAAGAACACTGGGATAAGCAGAGATTAGGGCGGGGAGGTATTGTAGGCCTACCTGAGCTAGAAGTTAGGTGCTAGGAGGTAAGAGCTGAAGTCACAGGAAAGTGACTCGTCCTGGTGTTAGCCTGATAAACAGGACCTACCGGGGCCTGTAACCAATAATCCAAATAGTCAGACCTAGCTGGGAGCTGCCGAGCTGGACCCAGAACCCATGAGTGCAATGGCATGATTTTTGGGGTCTGAGCTACCCTTCACAGTGGAAGGCTCAGGTGTGAACTCAGCATAGAAGGCAGCTCTGTCAGCTACACATCTCCTCCCCCAGAGCCCCTTGATTCTTAGTCCTGAGGTCCTGAGACACCCAGGTGGGCCCCAGGATATGGATTGGCAGCCCGGCCAGATGGTGCCAGGTGTTCTTTAATGAGGGTTCAGTTTCAGCAGGGCCTTGGGGGACAGCACCAATGCTATACTCCCAAGAGGAGTGGTCAGTGTGATGTGCCAACCTGGCCACGGCACAGCACTACACACTTGTGGTGCCTGTGGTCTGGCTCTCCAAGGCCTGGAGTCCTCTGAAGAGTAGACAGCTGTCGTATACGCTCTACAAAGTGTCCCACAAAGCATCCACAGGTCCGGCCAGGCTTGGCTCTAAAAGAAGTCTGAAGCTTTGCGCCGGGCAGGAAGCTGCAGCAGGTTGTCTGTGATGGAGGCTGGGTCCTGTGTGAGGGGTGTGCGGGTAGCAGACCCAGGGGCTGGTGTGCTTGTCGGGGTCTGTGGCCCACCAGCTGGGGTCTTGAGGTGGGTAGAACGTGCTGGGGATGGTGTATAGCTTGCCCGCAGGGCGCGATCTGTATACTTGCTGGCTGTCCTGCTTACGAGACGCTGAAGGGCTGGGGACATGGCTGGGCTCAGGCCTTTGGGAGTAAGACTGTAGAGAAGGGACAGAAAAAAGCAACCTTGTTAGAGGCCAGGTGCTACTCAAGGCAAGGCCTCCCTCAGTTCCTCAGGAGGAGCCCTGTCAAGAGATATGGTCACTCTGAGCTGAGGACGACAACACTGGGCACAAAGCAGTCAGGTCAGATCTGTGGAACAGCTACCTCTGCCTGTGAGACTGGATGGAACGTGGACTTTTGGGAGCTGGGGTCTCCAACTCTCTCCAAAGTGAATGACATTGACTCCACAGAACTAACAGGAGCTCACAGCCAGGCAACGAGCCTAAAGAAGGCCAAGGAAGATACTGAGAGACAGAGAGTGCCTCACAGTCTGCTCCATACACAGCCACAGCCCTCGCAAAACCCTGTAGATACACCCTGGGCTCTGTCCTGCAAGTCATGTACCCACATGGTCTTAGAGGCTGAGTGAGACGGGCACAAACTCATCTCTACCCTTCCTACCCAAAGGTCCAGCTGCCTCTCACCTGGCCAAGTTCTCTGTGACTCTCCGCAATGCTTCCTGCTTCTTGGCCCGGTTTTTGGCAGCTGCTTCATTGGCCATCTTCAGACCCAGACGCTCCCTGCGGCCTGGTTCCAAGATCTATAAGGTAGCGGGCATGTGAGTGACTTGTGATGGCCCTGCTACCCAGCCAGGCAGTCTGTTATCCAGCAGGGCAGCTGCATGGGTACCAGCCTCTCCTCCATAACTGTTATAATCCAGCAACTCATCTGTCCCAATAGCTGTCAAAAGCACTGCCCAGCTGGATGAAGTCGTAGACGGAAGTTTCTGTCCCGCCTGGTCCTGCAGTTGTATCTGTCTCTGGGTTTTTACTGATCATGCTACATGTAGTGGTGCATTTCTGAAATCCCAGCAATTGGCAGAAGACTACAGAATGTGAGGCCGCCCTGGCCTATACAATCAGACACAGTCTTAAACACAAAGAAAAGCAAGATGTCTCAGTGAGTAAAGGTGTTTGTTAAAAGCCCAATGACCTGGTTTGAATCCCCCAAGACCCCACAGGACGGAAGGAGAGAACCACTCGAACAGGCTGTCCTCTGACCTCCATACATGTGCTGTATCACATGCCACGCACATACATGCTTATACACATACACAAAGAAATAATAGGCGGGTGGGAGCTGAGTGGTGGCGCATGCCTTCAGTCTCAACACTTGAGAGGCAGATCTCTCTCTGAGTTCAAGGACAGCTGGATCAACACAGCGAGGTCCAGGCAAATTTCAAAACATCCAAAAAAACCTCAAATGAAAACAACTAACACCACCAACAAAAACAGTTTAAACTATACCATTAACTTCTAGTTGTTTTTTAAATTATTGTTTTATATTTAAGATTTTCACTTTTCTGGAACTTACTTTGCTGGTACCAATATTCAGAACCTAGTTTACCTTATCCTCAAAGGCCCTGCAACCTCACACCATCTGAAATACCACCTTTCCCTCCCATACCCTCCATTTTCTGTCTGCCCCCAGCTTTCCATCTTGCTTGACACTTGGGCACACAAGGCACAGTGGGCTGCCTCTGCCCTGTCCCCTGCAGTGCCCAGGGTTTGTTTGTTTCAGAACTCTTTCCTGGAAGAGGCCACTGCAGGGCTAGTGCCACTTCCCGTGCTGTCAGAGCCGTGGTCCACACTTTCATGTTCAACAGCACCTTGTTTGTTCTCCTCTTTGGCTTGGTTATCTCACATCCCAGATACAGTCTACAGTCAAGACCTCCAAAACCTCCACCCATGATCTGTCTAGGTGTGTGGTACATGAACTCTACCGACTGCTCTGGAGGTCGGGAAGGTCCTCCTGGCTCGGATCAGGAGAGCAGTGTCAGGACTGCAGTGCATGTCTGACGTTGGCCTTATGAAAGCTATGCTTCTTCCTGGGGATATGGACTCTACTGCTGACTAACATGAGCTCTCTCTGCCACAGCCTGAATTGATTACAGCTGGTATCTGGAGGCTTGAGATGACCTGGGGCCCAGCCATCAAAGCATACCTACATATTTATCAACACCACATCTAATCTTGTCAGGTTTCAAAAGAAGATTCACGTTCTTGATCTGCCCACTCAATACCCTGAGGGATAGCACCCTCACAGTGAGCAAGTATACTCTCAAGTATCAGGGACCTTTTCTCCTTAACATTCCAAACCACACTGATGCTCTCTGTTTTGTCCACAAACTCCCTGAAGCCAGGGACATTGTATTTTCTTTCTCCATAGTTCTCAGGCATACCTGCCTCCCACCCACCCACTCGGGCATACCTGCCTCCCACCCACCCACTCCCTCCATCAGGGGTCACCTGATTTGTACATGTTGTTTGTCTACCTCTAACTTCCTGTTCCACCAGAGAGAGGCCACATGATGTATATATACCAGGCTTTATCTGACTCAGTCTTTCTGGTTTGCTCTAGGTCTTGACCTCCACTGATCCAGTCCTACAATGCTAGGCTCACACTGTACTATCCTGAGTGTCCCTACTATGCTATGTAATCAGAGGCCAGCACATGGTCCTTCTGGAAACACACACTATGTCTGCAGGCCTACAGGGCAGCTGGAGTTTCTGGGCTAACTCTGTGTAGTCTAGCCTCCAGGCCTGCTTTGTTACCTTGCCTTGGTCTCCACCCTCCCAAAGGGTTTGCTAGTCCTACCACAATCCCCTCTTCCACAGAAGTCCCGTCTTGGTCTTGAGCAGAAGCACGAAGGCATCCACACCAAGTCCCAGCCTCACGTCCTCTCACCACAACCCACCTTGAAAGTCGGGCCTGGTGTCCTGTCCACATAGGGGCTCTCTGACCCTTCCACTCTTAGGGGGGTGTTCTCAACTTCTCCCCAAGTCATCAGGGGGGACTCATTCACACCTGCAGACAGAGAGCAGAGGACCTAGTGGGGTGCTGTCTTAAGGCCAACAGGCAAACTCTTCTTCCCTGAGACTCTAGAGCCTAGCACCCCACCATCTGAAGGGGAACATCAAAGACTCCAGAGCCTAGCATCCCACCATCTGAAGGGGAACTTCAAAGACACCACAGCCTCAAGGCATGAGAGCTGTACTTAGGTTGGGGAAGGTGGGTCTATTGGACCCCATCCTAGCATAAGGCCAGGGGCATCAACAGAAGAAAACACTTTGGGTTTCCAAGGCTTCCTAAATCCCAGTGCAAACCTATAGTGTCTTCACATCCTTGAGCCCACGTGTGACTCAGTTTCCATTTGGAGTCATTTCTGACTTAAGTCATTTGAGTTCAAGCTTGCTTGCCTGTTCTGCCTTTTCCAGTAACCTTGAGGGCTATGAATAATGTCTGTGTTAACCCATAGAAAAGAGTATTTTTTTGTCCAGTTGAAAGAGCACATCTTTCTATTAAGATTTGGGTTGGTGTATGCCAGCCAGAAGCACTCCTTGTTAGAGATTAGAAGCCTCTTCACTGTATAAGATAATGCACCTGTTTGAGCTTCCTCCCAAGGACAGTGCAGGGGAGGTGGTTAGCTGACCGGATCGCCCTTTGTTCTGCCTTCTGACTGTGATTAGAGAAATAAACTCAGGGTTGTTTGGTATTTACCATCGGTCCTCCTGGTCTAGCCTATGTTTCTGTCTTCATTTCTCTCAATCTAACTTTTCTGTAGCCTCAGCGCCCCCTCCCAGGGAACCCCCAGCTAATTTCTGCCGGAGCGGCCTCCGACAGCACTGGGTATGGGAACCAGCATGCAGTGAAGCAGAGGAGCAGCCTGTGTATCAAGGACACACCCAATCTCAGCTGCCTCCCTGCAGAGAGACAGCAGGCCTGGTGTCCAGAACTTCTCCACCTACAAAACTCTCCAAATTTATATCTGTAAGCACCAGGCATGCACACACATCTGCCTATTCACATCACAGAGAAGACCAGAACAAGACATGGCACACTGGGGAAACTTAGGCACATTCCAGAAGAGTCTAGCCTGTGCACCGCCTGGTCCAGTCTGGGCTCACAGCCCATGTCTTACCAGGAGCAGGAGAAGGAGTGGCAACAAATCCAAAGCCGCCCACTCGGGGGGACTCCTGAGGAATAAGCTCTTTGCCGTCAGGGCCAACCTTGCCCTGTTTGTGCTGGAAGAGAGAGAACCCAGTGTCAGGGGGTCTCCACAGCTGACTGACGGCAGGTGCTGGGGTGCATGTAGGAAACACTTCTGGGGTAGAGCTGAGGCTCTTCGGGAAAGAGCAGGAAGACCCTCATTTTCATATCTTCCCAAGGGCTTTGAGGGACTGTAGTAGCGACCATCAAGCAAGGGGTGCTCCTTTTCCTCCACCCAAGGATGAATCTCTTGGGATGCAATACTACAAAGAGTCGGTGCTGTCTTTTTCCTTAGAGGCATCTAAATCTCCCCAATTCCTGCCTCTCTTCCCACAACCCCATGATGACCAGAGCTACTCTCTGAGAGTACTCACTCTCTTGATCAGACTCCCCCGGCACTTCCCAGAACACACTGCTCTATTCCCCTCCCTGCCTGGTAGATAGGTATGGGTCTGGATTAGCTTCCAGAAGCTTCTCTTCCCTCAGACCAATATCATAGCAGCTGGTACAGAGCTGGACTCATAGGAAGGGGGCCAAAGGAGACATGGGTTGTATCACAAAGGGGCTGTGGTAGTTTTGCCAATTAAGCTTTTTTTTTTTTTAACCTTTTTTAAATTGATTTATTGAGCTATACATTTTCCCCTGCTGCCAATTAAGCTCTTGTCTGGCCTCAGGACAATCCTAACTTAAAGGGGACAACTACAATGAAAGATGCCACACCTATCCATAGTTAGCCCATCACATTTGTCCAGTTGCCTGGTAGCTCTGCTGACTCACCTGGGCATTCAGGGCAGCTGCCTGCTGTAGCTGGGACCTGCTCAGGGCCTGACTGAAGGGGTCCCGGAGGAAGCGTGTGTTCTTATGAACTACCTGACGTGGTTTCTTGAACAACTGCTCTTCATCAGGGACACCTATGAAAGGAAGAGCACAGTGCAGGCATCACAGGGGTGGGATGCTCCATGCCCCACCCCAGCCCTAGAGGTCATGCAGCCTAAGGGGTAGAAGCATACTTAGCTAAGTCACCCCCAACCAACACCACACCTACAGAACCTAATAAAGTGGTGTGGAAGGCAATGCTCCACAGATGTCACATATTCCCAACCCCAAGATGGCCCAGGACCTCTTTCTGGTCCATGCTGCAGTGAACACACACACGCACACACACTTTAAAAGTCCTGGCCCTCGGTCCTACTCACTCACCCTCAGGATAGTACATAAGAGAATTCTTCGCCTTATACTTCCAGGTCTCTACTCCAGCCTGACTGCTCTCAATGGCTTGGTGCTCTGCCGATGGGAGTTCAAGATTATCTTTCTGTCGCTAGAGTGATATGGAGGAAAAGTAGGATCAGGGAGGCATTCAGACCTTGTGGCCTTGGGACTCCATCCCCAAAGAAGGTGCCCATGTTTTCAAACTCTGGGACTACCTTCTCAAACTCCTCCTCAGCTTGGTAGAGCCACGCATGACGGGCATGGCTTTTTTCCTTGGCCACCTCCATGATCTCCTGGAAGGAGGCATTGTCCTCACTTGTGTAGCGGCTCAGGAAGACATCCAGGCTGGGCAGCGGTTCCTTCTCCTCCTCATCTGCAGCCTCTCCTGCTCAGGCAGGGGTCACAGGTAGGGAACACAGAATCACTCACATGATCACCACTGTATAGCCAGTCTGGGGACCACGCCACTCTGGAAGAGCTGGGACCCTGACTCCTGCTAGGTGACACAGCAAACCCCAAGTGTTCAGGCAGCCCCAAGTGGCACCCATAGCTGCTGGCCAGCTCCATTCATCTGCTGGATACCAAAAGAAGTCTGTGATCTGAGTGGCTGGTGAAGGGGCAGGGACGAACACTGAAGCAAGAGCTCATGAGGACAGCTTAGCAGCCCCTTCCTCTGCCCAAACTGTACTAACCCCAGAGGACTGACCTCCAAAGCCCCAAAGTTCTTCTTTCCTTCCTGGGACTGCCTTGTCCTAACTACCTTTCCCTTCCTGGCTGGTGTTACAGGTGAGTGTAGTCACTATGCATCAGGGTATCAAATTCATTCCTAAGGCAGAAGCCATATGATCCAGCGCTCCAGAGAGGGACACACAGACTCTGGGCCACAAAAGCCAACCATACCACCTTGATCCCTGCCACCAAGGCAAGTGATTATCCTGTAGAGGTAGCACTGAAAATCTCAAGGGAGCATGTGAGGCAGAGGTTTCTCATCCATTCTGACAGTCTGAACCACTATCTGTGTGCCAGCCAGTGCCAAACACAAGTTCAAGAGCATTCAACTGTTAACTATTCCTGATACCTACAGAAGTTACAGCCTTTCAAAGCCTGTTTCCTTACCTGTAATTACAGAACTCCAACGTTTACTGGTAAAATAAATGTGTAAAAAGAAGGGCATCTTCAGATTGACCCGTGACTACTGTATTTCCATCAAGGATCAAGCTCCAAGGATAGCGACTACTGTGTTCATGGCAGAAAAAAGTTGTGTTGTGGAGAAGCTATGCTTGAGTGAGCACGTTGTACATCTGCCCTAGTACAGCACGCTGCAGACTAGAGCCTGATACAGAAGCATCTTACCCACCTCTAGTGATAAATCCTATTACTGATCAACCAACCCAGACAAGTCCCTTAGGATGTGGAACACGCACATGAGATCTATACAAGGCTCCTCCTGACTTTAAGATACACCCCACACGTATATCCGATGTGTGGAAGACAGCACATTCACATGTTCTACATGCCTGTGGATGTGCAGCACACCATGTGCTAATCTAAATGCGGAGCCCTCCGATGGGAGCAAGACCACGACCCTGCTCTCTGGGAGGGCTTTCGAATTAGTAGTTAGGGTGAGAAACAAGAAACACTTTCAGGAATGCTACGTCCTGCAGGGAAACACAGAGCCAGCAGTGTGGCAAACAGTGAGACTCCGGTCTCAGCACAACAAATCAGAGAAACCAAGGCAAGCTATGAGGTATAGAGCCCCAGGGTGTTCCAACTTTACACAAAAAGTCAGTAACCTCAATGTCCACACAAGTTTCTGCCTCTTAGCCCAAACAGGTAACACCCGAATACGGACCTGAAGGGAGAGTCACAAGCAGCAACTGACGTAGAAGGAAGAAGGGGCCTAAGGCATCTTCAGGAGTCAGTAACGAAAGAGCTTTCCCAGCCCACAGACCCTACAAGGCAAAGGCTGGCACACTTAACAGGCTGGTGACAGTGACGGGCTCTCATTCCAGAGACAGGCACAGAACACTGCTCCTACCCACTGGGGAGCTGGACAGAACTTCTGCTTCCCACACCAAGCTTTGATCCCAAAAGCTGATACTTAGGTTAGGAGACCCCTCAAGGATGAAATGTGGTCCTGAGAAAACTCAATATGGCTCCCAAGCACTCTCGACCATGAGACCAAGAGAGTGTGCTCACTCACCATCATCTAGGTCCCGGCCCTGCGACCGGGGCTTGCTGCCCACCACACCAGAGCCTGCATGTACCTCGGGAGTTTCAAAGGTGGCCGGAGTAACATCTGAGGGAAGCAAGTTAGAAATTAGAGCAAGTCTAAAGTGACAAGAGACTTCCCTCTGTGCCCTTGTAGAGTGGCATCCTCTTACAGGGTGGTGGAGGTTCCCGAGATATCTTGCCCAGAGCAGAGCCAAACTTGATGGCAATCTGGCGCATACGCTCCAAATCTCCATTTTCCTCAGCCTCCAAGTATTCCTTCTGTGCCTGCAGCTTCTCCACATCAGGGAAGAAATCTCTCTGGATGACTGTCTGGAGTCCCTATCATAAGCAATCAGAACAAAGGCCAGAGCTGGCATCTGGGAGCCTTGACACCAATAACCATGTTAGGCCCTAAGGGCTTTTCACTTCTGCCTATCTGGATAACTGCGGTTTGCAAGATGGTTTAGAAGCATTTTCTAGCAAAGTGGTCCATCTCATATGGCTCTGATTACCGAACATTACTGAACAACCTCTTGATGCCCATAAAAATCCTTCACTAACTGGTCTTTCTCGTTCTCCTTTGCTGGTGCCATCTACAACACCAGCCGGACTAATGTGGATGCTGCCATCCTCATTCCACCCATGAATTTTTATTTCAATCCAAACTTTTCTCTTGAAAGCCAATTACCACTACTGCCACCACCGGATGAAATTCACAAGGTATCGCCTCCAGCCAGACCTTGCTGTGGAGCTGCAAATTTGTATACCCAGCTGCGTGGCAAGGACACATGCTGGCATATGCCAGAAGCGTACTAAATTTAACCAGTCTAAAACTAGACCTATGTCAGCTTGCCCTCCAGCATGTTTGCAGTGGGACCCCTAACTCGACGAGCAACCGAGACCCTCACTCAATAACATGGCCAGTACCGCGGTCTATTTCCAGGACCCCCTAGCCTTTACGTTTAACGTCGCTGCCTTCCAGAAAGTCCTTTTCGCCATCACCCTAAGAACGTGTCAAAATTCTACCCATACTTTAACAGGAAACTTAATTTCCTTGACCCTCAACAGACAACTCCAACTTTTCGTTGAAAACTGGACACCCGCTCCTGCACTGTTTCCTTGGGTCTCAAGATTTTCCAAACCCAAAGGCAGTTGTTCTGCTTCCCCAGGAGGCTGAGAGTTCCTGGACCAGAAAAAGGACTGGGGAGGAACGCGAATCGGGGGAGGGGCCCGAAAGTAGCCAGCGCTCGCACTGAGCTGGTACCTCGATGTACTCTTCTTCATCCAGAACCCGCTGCTTGCTTCTCGCAACCCCGGCCTCCCCAGCCGCGCGCTTCCTCGGGGGCGCGGACGCGGAGGGCAGAAACAGAGAGCCCGCCGAGGTCCCGGGCGTCCCCATCGCTATCCCAGAACCGCTCGGGCGGCGTAGGCAACACCAACAGCCAGCCAATGGAGAAGCAGTATTTCTATAACAAAGCCGGCGCTCCAAATGATGTCACTGGGAGCGCCGGATCTTAAGAGACTTGTAGTCTTTGATTCCCGTCTGCGTTGCTCGTGCCTGTCTAGACTATGGTCACTAGGGGGCGCTGTGGGGTGAATATTTGATGCCACATTCCTTCTGTTAGAAGTTTCAATTTTTCTCAAAAAAAAAAAAAAAAACAAAAAAAAAAACAAAAGAAACCCACTGCATATGTTTCAAAGGAGATTTTAAATACTTCAAAAATCATATATGGCTTTCCTCTGACGGCGGCCATCAGGTGAGCCAAGATGGGCGCGTACAAGTACATCCAGGAGCTGTGGCGGAAGAAGCAGTCGGACGTGATGCGCGTCCTGCTGAGGGTCCGCTGCTGGCAGTACCGCCAGCTGTCCGCGCTGCACCGGGCTCCCCGCCCCACCCGGCCCGACAAAGCGCGGAGGCTGGGCTACAAGGCCAAGCAAGGTTACGTCATATACAGGATTCGCGTCCGCCGTGGTGGCCGCAAACGCCGGGTGCCCAAGGGTGCGACCTACGGCAAGCCTGTCCATCATGGTGTGAACCAGCTAAAGTTTGCCCGAAGCCCTCAGTCTGTTGCTGAGGAGAGAGCTGGACGCCACTGTGGGGCTCTGAGAGTACTGAATTCTTACTGGGTTGGCGAAGATTCCACATACAAATTTTTTTGAGGTTATCCGCATCGATCCATTCCATAAAGCTATCAGAAGAAACCCTGACACCCAATGGATCACCAAACCGGTCCACAAGCACAGAGAGATGCGTGGGCTGACGTCTGCAGGCCGCAAGAGCCGTGGCCTTGGAAAGAGCCACAAGTTCCACCACACTATTGGTGGCTCTCGCCGTGCAGCCTGGAGAAGGCGCAACACTCTACAGCTCCACCGTTACTGCTAATATACGTAATGTTTGTACAATTCATACCCAATAAACAATATAGGACCGTCAAAAAAATCATATATGACTTCGAAATTCAGAAAAAGAACACTAAGACAATTCTTCCCAGATTATCTAACAAAAGGTAAATGAAAGGAAAGAATGAGAGGACACTTAAATCTCTGGTTAGATTTATTAGTTCCCTGCCTGCCGAGTGGGCTTCCCAAAAGAGGCGTGTACTCACTGACAGGATTCAAGGGACTTCCATCCTAAGGGACATCGTGAATTTTGCCACACAAGTTCTAGCCCAGAATGATTTGGTATAATTTTGCTTTTCCAATGATCTCTTCCTTCATTGGGAGTCACTGGGGACTTTATGGCTATGTCCCTGCCCCCATAGAGTTGACCACAATAATAAACACACATTAAGTCATCCTGAAAATGTGTAAAATCACATCTGTGACTTGCAAGAATTCTGTACTCAGAGAATCCTGATTTCTACACAGGGCATATCAAACGACATTTTCCCCAGGAAGTATGTGGTCATAGATTGTGGTCATAGTCCAAGACGAATGGACAGGCTTCAGTCAAGTGGCACTGGAGAGGCATGTGCAGGGGCCCAGGCTAGGATGGAGCAAGGCAAATCCCAAAGTAGGGCGTTTTTCACACAGTGCAGCGAAGGATATGACAGCAGAGGGGCAGAGCCGAGCTGCACAGTATCTTTGGGGTCTTGGCAAGAAACATTATTTTCATTTTGAAAGGGAGGCCAGAGTGGGTTCAGGTGAACATAACTAGAGAAAGTTGTAATGGTCATGCTGCAAGGTGACGGCAGTTTTCATCAGGTTTGCGCAGCTAAAGCTACAGAGACGCTAGTTCCTAGGCTTTATTGACATATTTAGAGGCGACATTGGATTGGCTTGGTGTGACTACGTGAGGGACAGAGATACTGTAAGAAGAGAATGGAGAGGGGTGTGGAGATAGCTCATCCTTTAAAATCACTTCCAGAGGATTGGGGTTCAGTTCCTAGTATCTACCCCGTGGCTCACAACTGCACTTCTAGGGGTTCCAATGCCCTCTTCTGATCTCCACCAGCAGGAGCAAATATATCGTGCACATGCATGCATTCAGGCAACACACACACACACACACACACACACACACACGATTGTTTTTTAAAGAAGAGAATGGAGATGGGAGAGGCTTTGAGATGGAGTCTCTGGACACTTGCTAAGGCCAGGCATCAGCTGAGGGGAGGGAGGAGCCTCTGCAGGGGATGGTAACAGCGAGAGGAGGACAGGCAAACTCTGGTTCTGGATAACCAAGAAGGACAGGGGCCTGGAACCCAGCACAATGTGAATGCCCAAGCCTGCAGGTGAGCTGACCTCCTAGACTACTGTGTCCAAAGCTAGACAGCGCCATCTTCTAAGGCAAGGCCAAAGTTCAGGAAGAAGAGTCTGGCGGCAGCCTCAAGTATGCATCCTAGGGACTAGGGAAGGAGTCCCCATCCTGGAGGTCTCTAGCAGTGTTAGGGACAGCTCTGGCTGGGAATATGTGCCTGCTCGGTGTTCTCCAGACCAGCCATTTTTTGTTTTGTTTTGTTTTGTTCTTCGAGACACAGTTTCTCTGTAGCTTTAGAGCCTAGAACTTGTTCTGTAGACCAGGATGGCCTCGAACTCACAGAGATTCCCTGCCTCTGCCTCCCCAGTGCTGGGATTAAAGGTGTGTGCCACCACTGCCCGGCTAAACCAACCATCTTTACAACAGTGCCAAGATTTTCTGCCATTGGCTCTACAGTTTAGCTTCCATGGATGGACCACATCTCTTGCAGACACCACCACACACTTCAGAACCTGTAAGGGGACAGAGCAAGGAGATCAGGACAGATATAGGGGGCGTTAGCTGCCTCCAGCCCACTGCACAGGTCAGCAGGTGATGGAAGCTGCACTTTCATGCTGTAGTATCCTGCACACTTCTGTGTGACCAGGATTATAGGAGGACAAACATTCCCCAAGGAAGTGGGGATGGGATGTTCCCTGAATTTAATTTCCTCTTGCCCACCCAATAGGCACATGCCACTGTAGGAAACCTCCTGGGGGCAAGTGGCTAAAGATCTCCCATCTGGGAAGCAGATTGGTAGTGCCCAGAGGGCATAGCAAATCCCAGGAGGCCTTGCTACCATCCACTGGCTTCAATTCTGGTAGGGGAAACATGGTACTAGAACTGAGGATTTGTTGAGCTGTGCTCTCCAAGACATGCTGATCCCCTAGTTCTCTGGAAATGTGGAGGGGAGCTAGCTCCTCAATAGGTGTGGAAATGAAGCCTGAAACGAGGACTTGGGGTCCTGGACTGTTTGGTGGTATTTGTAGATCTTGTTTATTTCTTGGTAACAGCACAAGGCTGAGATGAAGGAGTGGGTGTGGGGATCCGGAACATACCAACCGCAGCCTCCTTATTCCACAGGGCCTGACACAGGTCCAGTGTAGGACCTTAGAGGACAGAATAAGCCCAGAAAGTGGAAGACTAGATACTGGGCCAGTCCTGGAGACAGCGAGGGAGGCTCCCCTGGAGAGGATTTGGGGTCCTGGATGGAGTTAGTGCCTCTCTAGGTGGTAATGATGTCCGAAGAAGTTGACCTGCTCTGTCTGCACTTTACCTGCAGGAGCTCTCTGGTTCCTGCCCCATGTGCCCTCCCGTCATAGGTGAAGAGGTCTTGGATCCCCTCTCTCCCAGCACTGGCCAGGTGGACACTGAAAGAGAACCATGGAAGAGGATACTGTCCTCTCTTAGTTTCTGTGCAAGTAGCTCTGTCTCCCTCCTACTTTGTCGTCCTCCAAGTCACTGCCAAAGCCAGGAGAAACTCCAGACACCATCAACAGCTCTCCTTGGGAGGTTTCTTGGTTCCAGGCAGGAGCCTTGATGATGAAGCACGCTTTTGGTGTCGCCACTTGGCCCGGCGGTTCTTGAACCAGACCTGAGGAGGAAGGGGACCAGGACAGCTCAGGCTCCATGGACCAACACCCAAAGAACTTCGGAAGGGCTGATAGGCGCGCCGGGTGGTAGGCGACACCACAGAGGTGCAGGTGAATGGACCTGCGTCACTTCCCTTAGCCACACAAAGAAAAGAACCAAGACCTCCTACAGGGAGATTTCCTAGTCTCCCAGCCTTGGCCCAGTAGCAACCAGGATCTCCCTATCTCCCTCTCTCAAAGTCCTAAGTAATCTAGGCTGTCGTCTAACTCGCTATGTGTCAAGGATGACTCTGATGAACGCGTGATCCTCCTGTCTCCACCTCCCCGAATGTTGAGATTACAGACGTGTGCCACCGTGCCTGGCTAGTTTTGCACATTTCTTAACTTTCCCGCATCGGGGTATGAAAGAACGCGTCTCTCTTCAATAGGGAAAACGGGGAAGACAGACGAAGTCAGAGAAAAAGACTCTTAACGCCTTCCAATTTCGGCCGCACCCCCAAAACATGATACAGGAACTGGTCCTGTGCTCCCATCCACTGATCCTGGGGGTTTCCCTCCAGCGTGGAGAGCTATGAGATGACCTCCAGCCTGGTCGGTCTTTGAAACAGAAGTGTGGTGCCAGAGTTGGCCTCCTGGCTGCGGGGCAGACACCCACCTCCACGCGCTCCTCCCGCAGGCGGATGCGGACCGCCAAGCGCTCGCGTGTGCCCACGTCGGGATACTGATTCTGTACAAAGAGCGCCTCGAGCGCCTGCAGCTGCTCCTCGCTGAAAATGGTTCGGTGACGCCTTGTGCGCCGCTGCGGGCCCTGGCCGCTCGTGCCGGTCAGAGCCGGCGAGCCTGCGCTCGGCGCCGTCAGGGGCAAGGACGCCGCCGGTGCCAGTCTCAGGGGCCACGCTAGCCGCACTCCTACGGGGCGGGGCGGGGCGAGGGCGCGGTCAGACATAGGGTTAGGGTGGGAGCCGAGCTCGCCCCATCAGCCGCCCTGCGAGATCCCGAAGCTCCCCTCGCCCCGCCGCTCGCACTCACCGGGTGTGGACGCCGCCTCCGGGACTCCGCGGGGTGATGCTCGCGGGCCGCAG